GCATTTTGTACTCTCCTACTGTTCAATACTCACTATTCCCTCTCCAACCCGGCTGGGAGCGCTAGATCGATAGCTATGCTTCCCGTGCCCTCGCTACGCTAGCGTGCGCTGGCGTAAAACAAGCGTGCGCTGGTGACGCTGGGAACGCTAGATCGATATCTATCTTCTCTCTCCGCTGGAAGCGCTACGCTACGCTGCCGCGAAGTATAAACGCAGCCTTACAGACCGGTTGCGTTCGCTTCTTCGTCTGCTGCGTAGATACGACTAGCGGTAGACTACTTCTGCCTCACCCTACTCGATGGCTAAAATTGGTAAAAAGGACACATATTGACTGCAACTCGTGCGTTGCGAGGACCAGATGAGGATGTAGATGCTAACTATCTGATATTCAAAGCAAAAACAGACATTGCTGAAAGCGCTCCAAAGAAGATTCGAGAATTGGACGTGCATTCGAAAGAGCGAGACAATGCTGGGAGGTAGAGAGAATAGACAAACGTCGATAGAATAGGAAGCTAGACGACAGATACTGTCGCACCCATCACTAGCCGCTGCGTTATACTTTTTGATACATCGTTCCCATATTTCGGTCCGGACTACTATCAAAAAGAACTGGTTCTTTATATTAGGTAGCCACTGATTACGAACACCCCCCTCCCAATTAAATAAAATCTTTCTGTCGATAAGCGGGATATTTTTGAAAGGAAATGCAGAACCTACATGTTGAAACATTTTCCCTGTTGTAATGTTATTGTCCTTTGTTAATCGAATGCTCAGAAAGCGTTCATAATTCCCCAAGTCAAGATCAACTTCGCCGCCGTCATCAAGCACGTACACTTCACCTAAAGCAAGGTCATTGGATAGTACATGACACCTGAGAACAGTTAAGAGTACCATGTTCATAAGGCGAGAATGTGCCGGCGTCAATGTTCAAATAAGGGTCGATTTTGATGGCTGATACCTAAAACGCACGCAAACTGACATATAATGGCACTTTTTGTACAATACGTGAATTAACAATGTCTGAATACCTTGTATCCGTTGTTCTTCAAGAGCACACCAATACTTGACGATATGATGCCCTTTCCAACTCCACTGATTACTCCACCTGTTATTAAAATGTACTTCATTGGCGCTTCGTCGGGGTCATGAAAGTCACCATTTGGTAAACCATTTTCAAGCACCATCTGAATGAAAGACGCGTATAAATCCTGCAGAAAAATGATATAAGGTCACAGTCTGCTACAGATTGATAGCTAGAGATCTACGAATAAAGCAACAGGGACATGAAAACATAAAACAGACTTTGCTGACAAAACTGAATGCGGTAATGTTTAAAAATGACGGGCCGCCGGAAATTTGTGTGGTCAAAACTAAACTGACGCACAAATGCACAACGTCGTCGTGGTTGTCCCGCAATTTCAGAACTGGTTATCTCATTCCAGCTTGGGTAGTTTGGAGCAGATACAACAGGGCACATCGTTGTTGAGGAATCCCCAATAGGGGGGTCGTATTTGGCCGCCAGGAGAGGGGGTCGTATTTGGGCTGGGAAAATTTATTTTGATAGTTGATTTTTCTCGCTTCACGGACGTTGTAAAGGGGGGGGGTGTACAGACTCGGCTAAAATCTCCAACCAGTGATGTGCCCCAAGATACAATGTTATCAAGAAGAAGAGAAGGCACATATGTAGTTGGAAGATGGAGACACCAAACCGTGGTGCGCTGTACGTCTGCGTTCGCCTATGCCAAGGAAGGCATCGCTACCCGGTGACATGGAGAGCGCAGACAGCTACAATTGCATTGGTCGTCCCACCCTGGCCCCCTTACCTAATTTTAACGCTGTGAGATAAATCTGTTTAGGTTGGTAAACCTTGTGGAACTGCAACCGTATGGAAGTTAGGAATACTTTGGAAGTGCCATCTTGGGGCCGTAAGCCTCCGAAGACTGTGGTCGTAGCCACGCCCTCCAAACCAGGGGTGTGCAGTCTTACTTGCTGCGGACAATGGGGCGGGCTAGAGCGCGAGTGTTTGGCGCGCTGCCAGCCCGTTCCTTACCAATTGTGTTCGCCCTTCAGCTTCCACAGTCGATGGAGAACAGGCTGAAGCACCGCCAAATCGAGCCTTCCTAATGCGCCAGCGTCTGCAGCGAACATGACTGTCCAATGGAACGAGAAAAATCTTCCATGTACTAGTGCACTGACACCGGCGCTCCTCCCTATGATTACTCAGAAATCCTCTCCCCTCACCACTAGATGTTGTTCAGTACAAAAAACGATGAAATTCTGTGGAAAGCGTGCTCATGGTCAGAAAAACAAGACAGACATGCAAGCCTAGCAAGGGAATATGGGCAGAGATATCAGCTTTTGATCCTGCCTACAAAGCTTTACGTGCTGCTCACCATCAGCCATGAGATCTAAATCAGCTTTCTAAGCAGAGAGTCAGCAAATTATTTCTCGCTGAAGGGTAGGGCATGCTGATTGAGTTGAAATGGAAAAAAACACAAAAAGAGCCGCTGAAAAGGGCTCTGAATAATATCCCTACAGATTCAGTGTACTTCGTGGGGAATTAATCTAACAGATTCAGTGTACTTTGTGGGGAATACAGCGACAGGAGACTGAGCGTACAAAAGACAAACATATGACAAAATAGGGAGCGGCTATGCAGGCGATAGAGAAGGTTCTGCTGCGCAAGAATTTTGAAACGATATGATTAGGTCTAGGCCAATTTTTGTGGGTGGGACTCCACAATCGTAGGAGACATCTGGCGTTATATCAAGCACGTCTGTACCTCGTACGTACACATATTCTGCGCTAGTGAAACGCGTCGCCTTGTTTCTTCACACTTCCAGAGCCTCTCTATTCTTCCTTCAGGTCTAAGGGACCACTTGAACTATCTTTCTCTCAGGTCTTACGGACACTTGAAACTGACCTCTTTGAAGTCGAATTTGTGTTTTCCTCCGCACTCTCTCTCTCACCCGAGTGGCACTCTATGGCCATTGTGACTTCGCACATTCCAGCTTTTCACGTACGGAGTCCCCTCCTCTTTAAAAAGTTCGTTTCCTGGTAGAACAGGTTTCTTGCCACGTCTCGATTGGTTTTCTGGTTTCGTAACAGGACCACCATGAAAGTTCAAGATGTCACGTAACCCTGCGGTCTTATTCGCTGCGGATGTAGGGGCGTGTCAACGGGTCGGATTTTGGACGGCGTCAGTCTTCTCTACCAATTGTTCAAAAGGGCAATGACTCCAATGACTTGGAAAAGAGGGTGCCGCCCCAAACCCAGGCCCTATGACACGCCTCCGCATCGGCAACGAATCAGACTGTACGGGGGTCCATAAAGCCATTGGGTGTTCGTCCAGCGTTTTGTGAAGAAAATTTCTTATGAGTAAAATTCAGAACACGAGGTATACATTACTTCGTACATCCGTGTTTTCCGAAAGAAAATCCTCGTTTTTTGTGGCAGTACAGTCTTGACAGTTCAGTCTTCGCACTGAACGATCGGTCTTGTCAGGGCGATGGGGTTGGCACGGCTTCAGCTCGTTTTCTTTTATCTTTCGACACGACATGGCTGTATCGAGTCGTTCGTATGAGTCGCTTTACATCGATTGTTGTCGCTTACCAGCTTCAAATGGTGGGAACAGGCTGGAGGAGCATGCTCATTGACACACCCCTTCATCAGAAACGAACAATGCTGTACATATGTACAGTTTGTGCGGCCACACTGACTTTCATACAGTCGGGATGAAGTGTGCGAACGGAGCCAGAATATCAGGCGGTCTGGCATCTCAGACCTCCTTACCGTGCGGTTGACAACCTTAGCGAAGAGTCCCAAGGGGTACAAAGTCAAGTATCTTACTTTGATTTCTTTAGGGTTTGTCTGCTTAGTCTTCTAAGGATTCATGTCATCTCAAGGTTTATGAAAGTTTCCTCTATCACTGCT